GACGAGCAGTGGCCACGCACTCGACGGCCCCCGGGCCAGCCCCCCCGCGCGGGCTCGATGGCCTCGCTCTCGGCGGCTTCCACGACCCGCCACGGCCGCTTTGCATCGCGCGTGCTCGGCGCACGCGGGCTCGGCGGCGCGGACGCTCTACGACGACGCGGTGTGGCGGGCTCCTCGGAGGACAGCGACGCGCGGAAGGCCAGAAACACACAATCTAAACAACACCCTACCTTATCCCCGGCCCGCCCGCCACGGCGAGGGCCTTGCGCTGGATCCACAGGTTCCAGAGGCTGAAGTTCGACCCGCCGCGGTCTCGGTCCCCGGGCCGGACGCCGCGGCGGCACAGCGTCGGCGCGACGTACGCGCCGCCGAGGCAGTCGAGGTCCGGCTGGAGCATGCGGCACGCGTGCGCGACGTCGGCGTCCGTCGCCGTGCGCGGGATCGGCGGCTCGAGGAGCGCGTAGCGGCCGACCTCGGCCCGGACGGCGATGTCCGCGGGCGTCTCGCGCGGCTCCGGCGGCGGCTCCCGTTTGTCGCCGTCGTAGAGCTCGCCGAGCGACGAGATGTTCCGCCGCTCGAGCTCTGCGTTCAGCGCCCGCCAGTCCTCCGCGAGGTGCTCGAGCCGCCCGACGAAGTCGAAGCGCACGCCCTCGAGCAACAGCCGCTTCGCCATGGGGTCGATGTGGCCTACGAACGACGCTCCGGCGGGCCAAACTATCAAAGAACGCGGCGGCGCGACGGTTCCGGAAGGGCATGGGCTTGCCGCGGTACGCCGACGCCTTGCGCTCGGGCGCGCCCGGCTCGAACGTCGCGGCCGCGAGCCACGACGACACGCGCGCGGGCGCGGGCCCGCCGCCCCAGGGGCTCTCGGGCCGCCGCACCTCCTCGGACGCTTTCCGGCCCGCGCGCGCGATCTTCATGCGCGCCGTGCCCTCCATGCACCTGTGGCCGTAGGCGTAGCAGGGAAGGGGCCCGTAGAAGTGGAGCGCCGCCTGGCCGAGGCCCGACGCGAGGTGCGCGCCCGGCGACCGGACGAACGTGAACACGAAGGGCGGCGCCGGCGACGTCGCGGCGGCGTGGAACGTCCCGAACTGGGCAGGCGGCGCCGCCACGGCCGACCGCGCGATCGTCGCGACGATCGTCTTCGACCTACGGAGAGTCGCTTCGCCGAAAAAGCGCTCCGCGACGCCGCCTGCCCGACCCGACCTTGGGCATGAACACGTAGGCGATGCCGCCGCCGAGGCGGAACTCGAGCTCCGCGGCGTCGGGCGGCGCGGGCAGCGGCAGGTGCTTCTTCGTCGCGCGCGTTCCTACTTTGTCGAACCAGCGCGCCGCGCAGCGCTCGAGGCCGCACTGGACCGTGCGCAGCGGGTCGAAGGCGACGTCCGCGCGCTCGAGGCCGCTCCGCCGCGCGTTCGTCGCCGTTCGCGCGGCGCCGGCGGCCGGCGTCGGTGCGGCGAAGGTGCAGTTCAGGGGCCGCCGCGGCGCGTCGACGCTTTTCGGCGCCGGCGGCCGCCGCTTCGCCCGCTGCGGCCTGCCGCGCGGACGCTTGATGCCGACGCTGCGCGCCAGCAGCGCGGCGACGACCACGACCCGCAGGCCGCCCATCGTTTCGGATTGGCCAGCCCACTTCACCACCGTTGTTGGGCTCGTTATTGAAGCCGAGCCTTCCGAAACACACCACAATTAGGACCACCAGCTCTCGCCCCGGCCTTCGACGTCGTCGTCGTCGTCGTCGTCGGACGTGTCGTCGTCGTCGTCGTCGTCGTCGTCGTCGGTCGCGCCGTCGTCGTTGCGGAGCGTGTCCCGCACGCGGAGCCCCGCGCGGAGCGTGTCGCCGTACTTGACGGGGCTCAGGTCGACCCAGCCGCCGGACCGCGCGCCGCGCGCGCGGAGGCTGTCGTCGTCCGTGAGCCCCGCGGCGAGCACGGCCCACCAGTCGTCGAGCGACGCGCCCTTGAAGGCTTTGGGCGCGGGCCGGAGCGTGATCTCCTTGGTCACCGCGCGGAGCGACCGCTTCCGCTTCGGCGCGGGCCGCGGCGCCTCGGCGACGAGGCACTCCGTGCGCGCCGTCAGCGTGCCCAGCGTCGCGACGGCCCGGGCGTCCTGCGGCGGCCGGAGCCGCACCTCCAGCGCGTCCTTGCGCTTCGGCGGCAGCAGGTGCAGGTCCTCGGACGCCGCGACCGGCCGGCCGTCCTCGCCCTTCAGCGTGACGACCACGGCCCCGCCGTCGCCCGCGTCGAGGTCCGCCGCGGCGACGGCGAGCTGGGCCCAGTCGCCGTGCGCGGCGACCGCGCACGACGCGACCGCGAAGCCGTCGCGCTTCCTCGCCAAATCGCACGTCGCCGCGCGGTGGACGACTTTGCGGCTCGCGTCGCGCCCGAAGGCGAGCACGACGAGCGCCACGCGCGGCTCGCCGCCGGCGCTCTCCGCCGCGGGCAGCGGCTCGCCTAAAGACCGCGGGCTCATCATGCCGAGCGTCGCGGGCACAAGGCGCTTCGACGACAGCGCCCGGAGCTTCAGCTCCATGTTCTTCCGGTCGTACTTGGCCTCGTAGGCCCGCGCCCCCAGGCGCAGCTTCTTCGTGAAGCCCAGCGAGTTGCCCGTGGCGCCGTCGCGCCGCGTGTAGTAGAGCGTGCGGCCCCGGAGCTCGCACCACTCGAGGTGGAACTTCGACGCGCCCTTCGTCGCGAACGTGTTGTTGAGGAACTCGATGCGGCGCTCGACGCGCTTGACGAGGTAGCCCTCGACGGTCGCGTCGCCGACGAGGATGTCGTTGTCGTCCTCGTCGAGGTACTTGGACGAGCCGCGGTGGATGCGGTCGACGAACGTGTAGGCGCGCTTCGCCAGGGGCCGCGCGGGCTCCTTGGCGTGGCGCTTCGAGGCCTCGATGGCCTTGACGACTTCCGGTAAATCGTCCTCGGAGCGCTTGCGGGGCGCCTTGGGCGGCGTGTCCGGCGTGCCGGGGTCGCCGGCCTGGTCGGGCTGGACCGCGTCGTCGCGCCGCGTGCCCCCCAGATTCTTCGAGAAGATGCCCGAGAGGATGTGGGCGACGTTGGCGTAGAGGTCCGCCTCGCTGAAGATGGGCGCGATGGCGCTCCGCACGAAGGACTTGGCCAGCACGAAGAGGTCGACGCCCTCGGGCGCCGTCGGATCCCTCAACTTGTTCCGGAGGTCGACCTTGTCGACGAAGACCGTGTCCTTGTGCTTGCCGCGCACGTCCGTCTCGTTGAGGCTCGCGGACAGCTTCTGGCCCGCGAGCGCCTTGCGGAAGACGGAGACCTCGGGCGGGCCGTCCGCGGGGTCGTCGTCGCCGCGCGGCGCCGGCGCGCGCGCCTTCGCCCGGCCCGCGAGCTCGACGACGCGCCGCTCGTGGGCGCCCTTGTAGCCCATGAACAGGTCCTTGACGTACATGTTCAGGCCCGTGAGCTCGACGTCGCGCACGTCGAAGAGCAGCGGGAAGTCGCGGAGCATGTTCGCGACGTTGCCCTGGTGGCCTGCGTGGAAATCAAATCTTCAACTTCGATGTGCGCGTAATCGAACGGATTGGACCAGACTCTTCAACTGTGCTTCGAGAACTCAATGAGAGCAATCGATTTGTCCAAAAATCAGCCGAATCGACTTCGAATTGACTGAGCTCGAGCATTTCAAAGTTTGGTCGGGACGTCCCGAACCGGCGGTCGATTTCCACGCAGCTGGTGGCCGAGCTTCCACTGCGTCTCGAGCGAGTTCAGCTGGAGCTGCTCCAGCGCCGTCGTCGGCTTGAGCGCCGCGAGCTTCTCCGCCGTCGGCATGTCGGCGTCGTGGTAGTAGGCGAGCCGCAGGCCCAGCGTCGCGTCGTCGTCGTCGGGCGCCGCGCCCCACGCCTTGTCGCGGAGCTTCATCGACCCCTCCAGCACGTAGGCCTCGCGTCCCGCGCCGCCCTTGTCCCGCGGCCCCCGGCCGTGGCGCAGCGTCGACTGCACGGCGTAGACGTTCCACGGCGCCAAAACGAGCATCTTCGCCGTGACGATCCACTGCTCCGAGAGCGTCGCGCGCGAGCTCAGCGCGCCGCGGCCCGCGTCGTAGACGGCGACGTGGACGACGCTCGACGGGTCGGGGCAGGGGAAGGTGAAGTGCTCGTTCCAGACCGCGTGGCGGTTCAGCACGGCGCGCGTCGCCGTCTGGCGCCGCAGGCCCCGCACCGTGGCCACGACGAAGACGATCTTCGAGCTCAGGCGCGAGCCGTTGACGACCGTCAGGCGCAGCGCGTTCGGCAGGGCTTCGCCCGCGCCGAGTTGTCGCTCGACCTTGCGGCTCGCCAGCTCGCGCGTGAAGCGCGCGACGTTGAACTCGCCGTCCGCGTGGTCGAAGGCGCAGCGCACCGTGTCGACGCGGAGCACGTCGATGCGGACCGCGCCCGCGCGCGTCGGCTCGAAGTCCGGCTCGCGGCGCAGCGCCGCGTGCGTCGTCGGGAACGCGGACCAGCGGATCGGGCACCTTCTCAGGAGCGCGTTGACCGCGCCGTCGAGCAGGCGGTGGTCCACGGAGAGCTGCACCCGGACGGACCGCGCGCTCAGAAAGTCCGAGTGCGCGTAGTTCGTGCCCGGCGGGT